ATTTTCATGAACAAGGAATTTTCATGTACAAGGAAAAACCACCATTTTGTTAATCTATTTCAGTAAAATAACTGTGAGCCTTTTCTTTATGTTTCTAACATCAAGCCATCACCCCCGTGTGCCCTCAAACAAAGAGCTTCCGGCTTCACCAAGCAAGGCTTGAGCCTCTGTGAATGGAAACCAACCCTCCGATGATCTCAGATTTATAAAATCAACCGCATTCTTTCCACATAACACCTATACACAGCACTGAACTGGGACTGCTTACTCTAGAGCTGTGTGGACAAAAATTTCAACCATTCATCCCAAATTCTACGATATTGATAAGTTGTATTTACTCAGTAAACACCCCCTGCCGCACAGGGTCAGGTGATAGTATGGAGCTGAGCGCCAGCAGTGATGTAACACTCGTACAGCGTCAACACTAAAATACAAAACACAGTTTGGCTTGAAGATAAACTGCTCGCATACAGTCCCTAACAGTGCACGGACCCTATTATTCCCTTTACCTTCTAACACTCCCACGATATCCAACTCAATGGGAATAGAAAACCCTGAATACTTTCATACTATATTTCAATCAATTTTTTCCCCAAGCTGATGGAAAGAATTGCCAATGCCTGTATATAAATACATATGCAGCATGCTAGCTTTCTATGAGCTTACTTCTAATAAATAAAATTTCTTTTGAAGTGACCAGGAGTCATGGAGACCTCCCCACTGCTGTTACTTATTAATCATAGGATTCTGTGAGCACAGTCAGAATCACTTCTGTAAACGATTCCCATTGGAAAAAGATGAAAATACTCTTATCATAGAACAAACTTGTAAAAACCAGGATTCTTTATATTTGTCATAAATTTCTCTCGAGTGCTGAAGCAGGTTTCACCCACAACTTTTCCTTTTAAAAATATATTACAAACTTGCTTCCCCCATTCCTCCTTATCAGGCTCATACAAACTGTAGTGCAACTTTGTAATTAAATTTCACGATTCAAAATTCTAATCTAAACAACTTCCAAGTTCAAATAAAAAGGTAAAAAAAAAAAAAAAAAAACTCCACATAAATTCACCAATTCTTGAACATTTCACATAAAATCCAGCAACCACCTTAACTCCATTTTACACAAAAAAGGGGAGGGAGGGGGGGGAAGGGGGGTAAAATCAAGTTAATATATGAGAAATTCAATGCTACCCCTGAAACTTGGGCAGCCCTGATTCAATCAATCTTCTGCCTGTCACCCAATAAACCTTTCCCCAAGTTTACAACCACAGCGGCCATTGGCCAACAAGAGATAGAGAGGCCCACTTGTGTACATCTGGGCAACTGAACCTAATGGCCTCAATGGCTCCAGTCTCGATCTTGATAATAGTGTCCCAGGTGAAGAGCTAGATATATCTAATCCTTGGCATAAAATGATGGTCCCGCGCTGACAACAAACTGTGATTTTAATTTCAAAAGATAAGACGGTTGTGTGAGAATCTCCCCGTTTCGATGATCATATCTTTAAATTCAGTTATGTTTGTGCAGCTTACTCTTTTCTGATTAGTTATCTTTCTCTGTTCTAGAAAACAAATTTTAACATTGCCAAAATGACGAAGGAATACTAATGGATTGAAACTCTGCCAAAAGATTTACAAATTCTTAGAGAAGTCAACATCTTCATTACCTGTTTAACTCTACCCACCAAGAACAAGATCACAATTTTCAACATCATTATTGAAGTGACAAAAGAATATAAACAGTTACAGGCTGCATCTAGGTTAATTAATTTACCAACACCAAGTCCACCCCTCCCATTCTTGTCCATAATGTGACCACTGGTCAAGAATACTGGTCAAATTTCACAGGGGTCCTGCCCTACTTGGTGCAAATTAAAATCTCTGGCGGGCTGAGGGTTATGCAACTTCTTGCTGCCCTAAAGTCTCTAGGCAGTTGTAAACATGGCGACTAATGTGCAATGAATTTGTAATGAAAAAGCACTTCAGTCCTGAAGAGTGAAAGACAAGGGAAGTTCTAAAGGATGTAATTGGCCAGTTTACACAAAGTGTTTCATACAAAGATACAGGAAGAATCAAACCATCTTCAGGTATCATTAAGATTTGCTTTTGCATTTACCTTCCCTTCTTTGCTTTTGCATTTACCTTCCCTTCCCCCATTTTTTACAAATTTTTTATTGGTCTCAATTAATTTGGTATTATATATGCATAAATCAGTTTGTTTCCTTATGACTGACATGTTTAAAAAGGTAATAACTATATTTTATTTATATCTATTTCAGTAAAAACATTGACCAGAACAACTGAGGCAGATAATATCCAATCCTATAATATGAACTGATAAAATGGTATCAAAATATATCAAAAGTCTCTCCTGAAATTATTAAAATACAACCTTTTCACCAAATAAACTTTTTTGCAAAGGAGGGAATCTCTTCACAGTGGGATCAGCCGGGGAGTTCTTTTTATCTATTTAATAAGCTTCAGCTATGAGATCAGTTAATGAAGCCTACAAAGACCTAGATTGTTTTTCTTTACTCCTTCTCTTCGTTTTATCTGAAGCTTTGACGCCTTCTTGGCACAAAAGTGAGCTTTTGTTCCCTCTGCTATGCCTTGACTGACAGTGAATCTAGTAAGATGTTTGGTGCTTGTAAGTCATCAAATGTGTTTATGACACGAGGGCGACATAACATCTCCAATTTCTTCTCATTAAAACTTGATCCCTCCACTTTTTCTGTCAGTCCTGACATGGAAGTCTGGAGTCTGAACATTGCTAGATGATGAGACTGCTTCACATTCACTCCAGCAGGAAAAAAAAGTTACAAAATTGAATATGAAATTACACAGTTTATCCAAAACACATTTTACATTATGGAAAATAACCGCTATAGGAAGCAATTCTCTTTTCTTTTGTATTTTAAGGAAATTACTCCACACCATCCATACAATGTATCTTTTTCAAACTGTTCAATTACAAATAACCAGCTTAGAATCAATATTTTTATTTGAGTAAGTTTTGATAATTGATATCAAAGATAACTGCAACAATCCTATTAACCTTGGTTCTAAGAGATTTATTTCATAATAATTAAAAAAGCTCTACAAATAGCATAGGTACTTAATTTCGAAGTCAGCTTAAAGGACATTATACACAGTATAGCTTAACATCAAAGCCACAGGAAATGTGGCAACTTTATATGGTTTAATATCAAACCATTGGGCTACATACCGAAACTTGCAACTATCTACTAGTTTTCAGTTGAGAGAGTTGATAGTGAGAGAGACAGACTGTAAAACAGGGTGCTGAATAGATGATTCACAACTAGGTTATGAACCTCAGGGTGATCTTCATGTAAATTACAGCATGTACCCCTAATATACTACCCCCCCCCCCTTCCAAGTGGTGTTTATTTAGGTTATAAACATCTGGGTGAGCATTATGATATATTATGTTTCATCATACAGAAATGGCCAGTATCCTGTCACCCCCCACCTCCCACTGGGCAAGCTTCTTAAGGTTATGAACCTCAGGGTGTTCATTATGTTATATTAGGTTATATCACAAAGATATAGCCAGAATCCTGTGCCCCTATGCCGCCCCCACCTCCAACAGGGCAGGTTTATTTGAATGCGCCCTATGCATACCTCTAGTGTTCTCCACCATGCTGGTGCATTCTATAAAACCCAGTGAAGTCCTTTGATCTTAATGCTATCAACTCTGCCTCTCTTTCTCTCTCAGACTGCCCAGGCCTTCGCATTAATCTTAACTGGCTATTAAAGGAACCTCCCTCTGCAACTTTTCTCCACACTAGAGATGGAGAAATTGGCAAATTATTTTAGCTATTAAAGGAATCTCCTTCTGAATCTTTTCTCTTCTTAGAGGACTGAAATAGGCACACCACATTCCAACTCTTTCTTTTAAAACACATCCAAATAGGCAAATACCTAGGTGTACCAATTTGCTGTCAACCCCCCCCCCCCCCAAACACACACACACACACACACACTCAGAAAAACACACCTGATCTTAACCCATTTAATTGATGCAGTAATTAACCCTACACATCATTTTCTTACCAAGCTGATATATTTGTCCCATAAAAAACTCTTGGCTATAGGCCCATCCCAAATTGATCAAAGCAAGGATATACACAC